GCACCCTCTACGCAGAAGGTGCCATGGTCCATGTCGCGGCATCGCAATTGATTTCTTCAAAGCTATGCAGAGCACTGAAGCCCATGCCGGAGAGACAATCAAGATTGCTGTCACCATCAACCTGTAGCAAACATCGTCAATAACTAACGCCCATTGCACACCACTTCACATGTGGGAAGAATAACTCACACAGTCCATTATCACGGCCTCGGCACCTTGTTTGCGGATCTGCTTGATGCCTAGTAAGATCAGGCCCTGCATGACTGTAGCGTACTCGCCGACCGATGGAGAAATGACGGGAGACGAGATACCCCCGGCGGCAATTTGAAGCGATCTCAGAATCGGCATGTGCTCCGCTAGAGCTGCTCGTCCATTGTAGACAACTACACTGCCCAGAATAGCGCCATTACTGGGGCGGGTCGCCCGGATGATCCCACAGTGCGGGGATCCTCTCAAAGCCACTTTGTAGATATCTAGAACCCCTTGCCTAGAGTTCGTTTTGATGTGGTCCAGAATCGAATCTGCATAGTCCCAGCCATAAACGAGATCATAGGCCACATCCGCATTCTGGATGCCGTGAACCAAGCTGTCCGTCGGCGTCCAAGAAGACAAATTGCGCAGTACCGCGCTACAAACAGGCCGTGAAAGGGCCGTATTCCAGCCCAAGTTCGCAAACCATTGGCGCAGCCTCTTGCGGTCCACCGGGTTTGCTGATGGTATACCCAGATAAATCCCCGGCAGGCGAGAGCCCAGCTGGAACCGTTTCATGCCCTTCCTGTGCAGAAGAGTTCGGATGGCACGATTGTGGAGAGAATTCCCTATAGATAGCTTCCGTCTTGCGGGATGAACGATCAAGGACCCAATGACGCCAGTGCCTGTGGATCGAAAGTAATACGTGGAGCAGAATCCGTATAAAGCCTGGGTACTGCTGTTGCGAACCACAAAATGTGCCTCATCAATCTCTTCTTTGCGGAGCAGAAAGCTGGTAGATGTCACACCTAGCAACTCCGGACGTTGTCCTTGCACACAGTCCTCTCGGACAGCATTCAGTAGGGCGTCTAAGGCATGCGCATCCCTATCCTCATTCCAGCTCTCTACCAGCCAGTGTTGCCTCGCCTGGTGAAGTTTTTGACTGCGACTTATAGAGCCCGGGAGTGACCCCACGGCGGTCAACTCTCCGTAAAGTACTTTAACCAAGGCCTCCAAGGCCGCATCGGTGAAGTCGTAAGTGCAAATATATGTTTTAATGGACAAGTCCATCGCAAAGTCATAAGGCGAGCTTGCTGCGACCACGATTAATGGTTTCTCGCGAGGTTCGCCTGATGGAGTGAATTTGGATCTACAGATCATAGACACGTGCCTAGTGAACCCATGCTGGTACAAGTTCCGGTTGGCGTCAGCGGTGACGACAATGACCGCGCTAGCCCGATCAATGAGGTCCTCATGAATCGGACGTACACCGTTGGCTGTGTAGGATGTATGCAGAACACGACCACTGCGGTGTCGGGAAAGGGACCTTCCAAGCTCTTTGAAGACACTTTCGCCACTCAGAACAGATGCTGTTCGATCCCACGCGATCGGGTCAAGCGATACGTTCAAATGCTCATTCACGGAGCGCGATACGGCAGAAGCAGGCAACGGCTTTACCAATGGTGTCAAGAGAAGCAGCTCCTCATTTCGCTCAAGAATATTGGTCAAAGGTAGTAAGTTCTGCTTATCTCGGACAACTGAGATAGAACTGTTGTATGCTCGTGTGGAGAGACTTGTGTGGGACGGTTGCATTTGAGTGAGTAAAGTAAGACCAGGCGGGCTGAGGGCTTGCTCCCAAGACGTGCATTTGGCTTTCAAGCTCAACACTCTGCGAAGCGACTGCTCGATGCGCCCGCGCCCGATTATACCATTCTCCACACCTAGCTTCAAGCCACTGATGGCCTCTTGTTGAACCTGGAATGAGCGACAAAGAAGGATGATATCGCACCCGGCATTTTTGGCCATCACCGTCCCTCCACCGACACCGATATTGTGGGTCAGGGCCTCCATCTCTAGACACTCCGAAACGACCACACCTTTGAACTGTAGGTCTTTCCGAAGCAGATCATCAACCACCTGCTCACTAAGACAGGCGTGCATCACATTGACTCCGGCCGAGGACATTGAAACGCCCCCTACCATCATCGAGTCCAAACCATGAAGGATTGCATTGCGAAATGGTACCAATGCGGTCAAACTAAGCTGCTCTAGGGACTCGGTAATGATTGGTACATCCGTCTGAGACCCTAGAAACTCCAAGTTACCATAGGATGGGAAATGCTTGCCGCATGTCACGAGCCCTGCCTTCTGATAGCCTTTCATGAATTCGACACCGTATTGTGATACTTCTTGTGGGTCGTCTCCTGTGGTGCGGACGCCCAAGGGCTGGTTGCGTACATTGGTAAGCACGTCGAGAACAGGACCCAAGATCCAGTTAACTCCTACGGCTTTGAGCTCTTGTGCCGTCGCCATCGCAACTTCATGGGCTAGGCCTTTGGAACCTGTCGCAGCAATACCCATCGCACTTGGGTACTGCCGGATGTAGATATCATCGTACAGGCTGTTCACCCCACCATTTTCCTGATCCATGGCAATTAGCAAAGGCACCGGATGGCCAGCATCCCGCGCGATTGTCTGCAGCTCAAGGACCAACCGTGTTGCGTCTTCTGCAGCTAGATGTATATCAGTGCCTATGTATAAGGACGGAATCGGGCGGCCGAGGGAAATAAGCCATCAACGAAGGCCCCAATGAAGACGGTGTAGGGAGGGGAGTATATGAGTACATTTGAGATTTTTTGCAGAGAGCAGAACCGAACCGAGGTGGTAGTTCTCGATGAGCGACCGAATTTGAGGACTGACAGATGTTCCATCGAAGCCCATCATGAAAAGTTGCCCCATCTGTCTATCCAAGCGTCATGGTGAATAACGCAACTGTCAGCAGTGAACTGCTTACGCACCTACTAAATGGCTTGGGAAGGCTGTGCTATAGGAGGCGCACTCTCCCGTCTGAAGACACACATAGAGAGACAGGAAGGCAAGTCCAACGGTGCAAGTTATGCAGCAGTATCAGAGAAGATGGTGAGGGACATTCGAGAGGAGCAGGATATGCCAAGACCAAGGTTAAAACCTACCTGTCTAGATCCTCCCAGCCAGGAGGCAGCATCTCTTTGGGGGCCATGAGGGCCCGGCGTGGAAGAATTATTCCAAGCCAATTATGCCAGGGCGAATATGGGTGTGCAGTGAAACAATGATGATGAGCTGCAGACGTCAACGGAGGCTTTGGAGAAGGGAGGGGTGGATAGTGCTAGGACGGCAGTTTAGACAAGCTCCGAGTTCCCCCGGCGGAGCCCCAGGCAGGCAGGCAGGCAGGCTTTGCTAATTAGATAAAGCCAGGGGTGTATCGCAAAGGTACCGTAGGAGTAATTAATTATGGGTTTGGAATCATGAATGACAAAAACATGAAGCGTGGAGGCGGGAGTACCAAGGAAGCAAGCAGTTGAATAGCTAGAGAGACCAATGAATGGAAATCATTTCTTCATTTATTCATTCATTTGATTTCACGCATTCATTCAATCAATCCAGTTGTTCATTAGTTCATATCAGCACTGGTGGGGGAGATTACAAAATCAGATAAGTGAGAGGCACCATAACTGGATCTTTGACCCAAAATTTGCAAAGCGGTGAAACTTCAAGTTAGTAATTCGGTGACTTATTTGGTAACTACTAATTGAACAGTGCGTGAGGTGCCAAACCCAAGCCCCAATCAAACAGTGCCGTGCTTGGCACATGCGGGCAAGGGTCACATGATGACTAGATGACTATCAGATGCGCACGGGAATGAGTACTGCCCGTACATACAGTATATCTCCGCGTTATCTTCTGTATACATATTCATCGTATTTTACAGTACAGAGCATATGTATCTGTACTGGATACTTTACAGTCTTGCCGTTACAAATTACAGGCAGTACCGAACCTGTCTGTTACCGAACAGGCCTGCGTACTCCTTTATCCATCGATCTCCTTCCTCCCTGCCATCGAGGGGTTGCATGGCTGGAATGGATCTGTGGAATGAAACACTTCCATCTCTTCCGATTTTAGCTTTGGCCTGCTGCCATGACCGAATGCAACGGCAGCCTCTTGACAGCCTGGTGATTGATTAGTCAAAACTTTTTCTATTTTCCTTTCTTTCCTTTCTGTCTCTCAAAAAGGTCAAGTCACGTCTCATAACCAATTTGGTTATCAAATTGAAAGTTCACTCACTACTCTATAGATGACGATGGTGGATCACCGGTGGACCTTCGCTCCTATGCCACCTCTGTCTGTAACAGTATCTATCATGCTCAGAGTTTCCGACAATGCTATTCGTAACAAAGGCCTTCTTATGCACTGCTCGTTGTTCCCCTCCATACTTAGATATCTTATGGCAACTGTGACAAAATGGGGCACATGCAGCTGTAATCTCTCCGTGATATGGCTACCGCGTCATCGATAGCTCCACGCCTCTTAGTGCACATGCTTTCAGATGACTACTAGAACTACAACAGGCTCAGTAAACGGTGCTTAGGATAAATCAGTGGGTATGTAGGCTGGCATCATCCTAAGTGCCGAGCCGAAATGACTTCGATGGACGTCACTTACAAAAACGTCCAGACCGAAGTAACATCATTCTGTCGCACCCTCCTTTCGTTCCCCATAAATTGAAACTGTTACAGAGCCGTGGTTTGACAGAAAGCTAGTGGCCACGCTTCTGTCTTCTCTCAAGAACCTACAAAGTGCTACAATTCCTTTCATTCTCGTCAGGAGCTAGAACTAAACTCTACATTTGTACCCAGTATCGCTACCCCCAGCCTTTTTTTTTTTTTTGCCCTCCATTCCCATCCTCTTCTGTTTCGATATATCTTCCAGTGCTATACACTATACACAAGATTCTACTTGTCCACTAGCTGGATTTACAATTTGGCAAGCTTGACTCATACCCATTGGTACTTCCCTTTCCCGGCATTGGCCAAGTGTATCCCCGCACAGCGGAACATTTTTCATAATGTAAGGTGCTACTATCCTCCAAACGTGGATCGAGACTGACTCTGCTTCGAAATAGGCGAGTTATCATCCGCAACACTGCTCTGGAGGCTTCGGAGTATATTGCCGATTATATCATCAGTATGTAGATGAAGCCCCGGCCCCCCGTCTGAGGCCTGAAAAGTCGATCGTGTTGGCTCGTGTGCTGCGACTCGTACCTTTACGTGGACCACATCTAATCTTCAGGCAGGTCGCATCCAGAGATTTCAACCAACTGAAAATCAACCATTTGTACTCGGCTTGCCAACCGGAAGTAGTCCGGAGATCATCTACAAGACTCTGGTGAGCCGGCACAGGAAGGGCGAGATATCCTTCAAGAATGTCGTAACTTTCAACATGGTACGTATATTCTTCCCTCCCACGAAGTTGCATGGGCCTATGTTGACCGAAGCAGGACGAGTATGTCGGATTGCCTCGGGATCATCCGGAATCATACCACAGCTTCATGTATAAGCATTTTTTCTCTCATGTGGACATCCCGCCCCAGAATGTTAACATTCTTGACGGTAACGCTCCGGATCTCGCAGTCGAGTGTGCTTCTTTCGAGGCCCGAATCGCTCAGTACGGCGGCATCGAACTCTTCCTAGGTGGTGTGGGCCCCGATGGACATATCGCCTTCAACGAGCCAGGCTCCTCATTGAGCAGTCGGACGCGGGTTAAAACTCTAGCGTATGACACGATCTTAGCCAATTCACGGTTTTTCGACAATGATGTGGATCAGGTACCCCGACATGCATTAACTGTTGGCATTCAGACCATTATGGAGGCACGGGAGGTGGTGATAGTTGCTACCGGTGCTCACAAGGCTCTCGCAGTGGAGAAGGGCCTTGAAGGGGGCGTCAATCACATGTGGACGCTCTCGGCCTTGCAATTGCACCCACACCCACTCATTGTCTGCGATCGGGATGCGACTCTGGAGCTGAAGGTCAAAACAGTGCGTTATTTTGAGTCTATTGAACAAGCCGGTACAGATGCGCGCACTCAAGGCCCACCTCTTGCTTATCGACCTCGGATGTACGTTCCCGGCCCAGTCGGGTTGGGCAAAACTCACCAGGAATTTACGCCGCAAACTACACCACAAAAGGTCCCTAAGGATTTGAGAATCAACACGGAATTGAGTCGCTCGATGGAAGACGATGAATTAACACCTGACAGTATGTCCTCACGGATGGTTGACTCGGCGATCGGCGGGCTGGATTCAGCATTAAAGGGCGATTTATATTTCGACCGCATGGGAGCTAGGGTTCTCTCACATTGATCGGATGCCTTAGGGAAGTAACAGAATTCGGATCGGGAGTTATTTTGCTGGAGAGCCGCCGAAGGTAAAGGGAAATGTAATCTGACCGCGGAAGACTGAATTCACATGTTTGCTTGACATCATTACTCAGTTGATTTGTACTTCTCTGTGCATGGTTTTCTCAAGTTTGAAACTCCTTGAAAAGGCCATCTGCGCAGAGGAGCTGAGATGGAAGACTATTTAGCTGGGGAGTAGGGATCGGCCGTGCTCTGTTTACTAGACAAGAAGCATACAAAAGCACCATCTGCAAGCGGTTGTTTTTTGAACTTGGGCGGCAAAATAATTCCGCGCTCAAGCCCGAAACTCATGGGCTACCTATAGATTCCAGGGTGTGATAGATTGGCGATTGTTAGCCGGTGGGATGTGCTGAGCGCGATCTTGGACAATATTACTACTTCCTTCTTAAACAGACTAGATTGCTCGAGTCGAGGAATAGTTAATTCGTACAGCACTGTAGAAAGTTTCTACACTGGGTCAAACACTAGCTGTAATGATACGTAGAGTAGGAGAGTGGTCATCCACTTACTCGCAGCCCATAGATGGCTCGTACGTGATTCACTGTGCATTCTAGGAATTAATCTATGCAATTTTTGATGTCACAATTACAACTTGGCAAAGACAGTGGCTACCGCTCCATTCATATCAACGAGGGTGCTCTTATTCTTTACCCATGCCTCAATACCCTTGTGTCCATTCTCAACTCCGACCCCACTCTTCTTCCAACCACCAACGGCCATCTCAGCAGGGCTCTCACCCCAGCTATTGATCCAGGTGATTCCCGCCTGCAGCTGGTCGATAATGCGATGGGCCATATTCAAATCCTTAGTAAAAACCCCCGCGGCTAGGCCGAGCTCAGTGGTATTCGCTCGCCTGACCGCTTCATCCACCGTCTCGTAGGATAGAATAGACATTACAGGGCCGAAGATTTCCTCTTGGACAATGCGCATGTCATCTGTGCAATCAGTGAAGACCGTCGGGCGCACCCAGAATCCTGATTCCAACTCCTTCGGGACACTGGGCTTGCCCAATCCGCCGTAAAGTAAAGTAGCATTGTCTGTTTCGATGCCGTGGCGGATGTAAGAAAGTACCTTCTCTAGGTGTACAGCTGAGCTCAAGGGACCGAAATTGGTTGAGTCATCAAACAATGGCCCAGGACGGATGTACTGCATCTTCTCCAGAAGGCGCCTTTCAAACGTGGTCTTCATGCTAGCGGGAACGAACACCCGAGTGCCATTGGTACATACCTGACCCGTACTGTAGAAATTTGCCATCATGGCCCCGTCTACGGCATTCTCGAGCTCTGCGTCCGGCAAGATGATGAGGGGGCTCTTGCCGCCTAATTCCATGGTGACATATTTCATGTTGCCGGCAGCGGATCCAGCCACTTTCATGCCTGTGGATACTTGGCCGGTGAAGGAAACTTTCGCAATCGTAGGATGAGCAGTCAGGTATGCCCCAACATCGCCGGCGCCGTAGACAATATTGAACACGCCGGCGGGTAGACCGGCTTCCGTGTAGATTTCGGCCAAGGTTTGTGCATGCAGCGGCGTAAACTCGCTTGGCTTGTAAATCATGGTGTTGCCCGCAGCCAGGCAAGGAGCGGATTTCCATAGCGCACTGCACATATATTCTTAGCCATCCTTGTCATCCATTGATATCGTCCATTAAGCATCTTCCAATTCGGGGATGAGGGTGGGGATTGAGCGGCCGAGGGTAAAGGCTTACTAACATTTGAATAGGGTAGTTCCAAGCTCCAATTCCCACGCAGACACCCAACGGAGACTTTTTGGTATACACCCAAGCATCTTCTCTCAACTGTGTGGTCTCTCCATTTAGCCCGCCACCTCCGACCAGATTCGCATAGTACTCAAGTACGTCGGCTCCGGTGACGACGTCGACAGTGCTTGTCTCGGTATAAGCCTTGCCTGAGTCAAGGGTTTCGACACGAGCGATATCGTCGTTGCGCTCGCGGAGCAGGGCGGCGGCTTTCTGGAGGATGCGGGCACGTGCAATGGGTGGTGTTTGAGACCATGAGGGGAAGGCCCGGTCGGCGGCAGCGATGGCTGCATCTACATCGGAATGTGAAGCAACCTGGATCTCAGCCAAAGGACTGGCGTTCGAGGGGTTGATAGATTGGAAGGTTTTGCCTGAAGAGGCAGGCTGAGTCTTTCCGTCATAATACAATTCGCGAGTAGAGAAACCGAGGGAAGGCATGGCTCTGATAGGGAGTTTGAGCCCTATTGCTTGATTTATGCGTGTAGAGAGAATGGTGTGTAGGGAAAGGAGGAGGTCCGTGGGAGGGGGGGAGGGAAAGAAGATAAGGATGCCCGCCTAATTGTACGATACTGGTCCCGGAGAAGAGAAAGGACCACAGATATTATCTGCGTTGTATGGAAAAGTAAGAAGCAGAAGTAATAATGCAGTGAAGTTGCAAGATTGCTCCGAGGCTCATCGGTTCTAGGTAGCCCGGAGCAAGATCAGACGCAAGTGGCGGAGAAACTAAACTCGAATAGGATCACAATTGGCACTTCCCGGACACTGTTTGGAAGGCTTCACCGCCAACCCGATTTTCTCGGCTTACCTAATATGAAAGGCGGCGATCTTCCGGCGGCAATGTAAGTCAGTGAAACGGCCAAGTTTCAACTATGGAATACGGAGAACATGCGGACTCCATGGAAGCCCTTCTCGATCAGCTAGTCACCAAGCCATGAGGAGGTGAACAGAACGAGAAGAAGATAAGGTCCTTGTAGCATTTTCATCTCGCATGCCGTTCTGTCATTGTCTTGCTCAATTGGGTATACCTGTGCTGCCGCTTGTCAACTCAACCCTAAGGCCTAAGCAGGCAATGCGATCCCGGATTGCCTTCGGCCCTGCATCTCCGATGGGGTTTACCATTGACTAGCGCCCCGTTCGCGGGATCGTGGCGCGGCCTAGCGTCGGGTCTCATCATCTCATGTGGAGTACTGACGTCGTAAGAAATGGACGGACCGCGGAGGGTGAACGAGAAATTGAGGACCTCCGACCAACGGATTCTATATGTAACCACTTACGCATGAATGGTCCATTCCGCGCGATACAGCATGTACGGTACAGTGCAGTGCGCAGGATATTGAGCCGAAGCCATCATTTACTCGTACTTAAGAGTCTGCGCTGTACAGTACAAGGACAGTAAGATGTCCAGGTCGGAGGAAGGGAGGGATGCCGACTCGGGCTTGTCAATTAGTAAGAAATAGGAAGGAATTTTCTTGGCCAGTTAGAATTTGTGTGGGGTGCACATAAGTACTATGTACGGACCTAGAAGATACCGTCTCTGCGAGTCTGCACAGTACGGAGTAGACTAAGTGCTTTCCAATGGGCACACCGCCGAGGCTGAGCTAGTGCCCCACTGCGGCGTACTTTTTACCATACGACTATCATTATTGGATAATCCGGACTCGGTGCCTTATACTGGGGTGGGGATTCTCTCTCAGTCCAAGAAATCTATGGGAAAGAAGGAAAAAGGAAAGAAAGAGAGAAACCGCGGCCCCCCCCCCCAAAAAAAAGAAAAAAAAAAAGGAAGCAGATGGAAAAAAGACGTGTGGGAGAACATGAAGTGGGAATGAAGGAAACTGTTGGCAAGTTCTAGCAGTAGAAAACATGGCCTGATAGTTTTTGGGTCTCTACAGACTCGCCGCGTCTCCCTCCCCAATACTCAATTTAAAGCCATTCGCTTCCCCTCCTCCCCGCCGTCTTCTCCCTTTTTCCTTCCCGCCCTGCCCGTCCCCTCCCTGTCATCAATCTTTGTTATCCCTGGTACTTTCTCACGACCTTAATCTCCTACGTTGGGATTGGATTGGATTTCATCTTGTTCAGCATGGCAACCACCAACGACTTTCCCGCCGGCGATGTCAACATTTATGACTACATCATCGTGGGGGGTGGCACAGCAGGCTGTGTCATTGCTAGCCGTTTGGCCGAGTACCTGCCCAACAAGCGCATCCTGGTGATTGAGGGCGGTCCCAGTGATTACATGGATGATCGCGTGCTCAACTTGCGTGAGTGGTTGAATCTTTTGGGAGGCGAGTTGGACTATGACTACGGTACAACCGAACAACCAATGGGTATGTAGAAACCGAGCAGCTTTGGCCCAGTAAACAAAGAGGTCTAGGCCTAATACTCATTAAAAATCCATACAGGCAACAGTCATATCCGTCACTCTCGCGCTAAGGTGCTGGGTGGTTGCTCCAGCCACAATACCTTGATCTCTTTCCGTCCTTTCGAATACGATTGCAAGAGATGGGAACAGGCCGGCTGCACAGGCTGGTCCTTCGAGACCTTCACCCGCGTCCTTGACAATTTGCGCAACACTGTTCAGCCTGTTCACAGCCGTCATCGTAATCAGCTGTGCAAGGACTGGGTTCAGGCTTGCTCCAGCGCAATGAACATACCCATCATCTCAGATTTCAACAAAGAAATCCGCTCTAAGGGTGAATTGACTGAGGGCGTTGGTTTCTTCTCCGTCTCTTACAACCCCGACGATGGCCGCCGTAGCAGCGCCAGTGTTGCTTATATCCACCCTATTCTCCGTGGTGAGGAGAAGCGTCCGAATCTGACCATTCTGACCAACGCTTGGGTGTCACGCGTCAACGTTGAGGGTGACACTGCCACTGGTGTTGATGTCACGCTGCAGTCTGGCACTAAACACACCCTACGGGCCAAGAAGGAGACAATTCTCTGCGCAGGAGCTGTTGATACTGCTCGCCTGATGTTGCTCTCTGGTCTGGGTCCGCGTGAGCAGCTGAGCTCTCTTGGCATCCAGGTTGTCAAGGACATCCCTGGTGTCGGCGAGAACCTCCTGGACCACCCCGAGAGTATTATCATTTGGGAACTCAACCGGCCTGTGCCTCCTAACCAGACTACCATGGACTCTGATGCCGGGATCTTCCTACGTCGCGAGCTTCCCAACGCACATGGTTTTGACGGCCGCGCCGCCGATATCATGATGCACTGCTACCAGATCCCATTTTGTTTGAACACCACTCGTTTGGGTTATGACACACCGGTAGATGCGTTCTGCATGACCCCTAATATTCCTCGCCCCCGCTCCCGTGGCCGTCTCTTTTTGACCTCTGCTGATCCCAGCGTCAAGCCCGCCCTGGACTTTCGGTACTTCACCGACCCGGAGGGCTACGATGCTGCCACCATTGTCGCTGGCTTCAAAGCGGCCCGCGAGATCGCTCAGCAGTCGCCCTTCAAGGAGTGGATCAAGCGTGAAGTGGCTCCTGGTCCCAAGGTCCAGACGGACGAAGAACTTTCAGAGTACGGCCGTCGCGTAGCGCACACCGTGTACCACCCGGCCGGAACAACCAAAATGGGCAATTTGGCCCGTGACCCTATGGCCGTCGTTGACCCTCAGTTGAAGGTGCGGGGCCTCAAGAATGTGCGTATCGCGGACGCGGGTGTCTTCCCGGAGATGCCTACCATCAACCCCATGTTGACCGTGCTGGCCATCGGTGAACGTGCGGCTGAACTGATCGCGGAAGAGGTCGGCTGGAAACGCGAGCAGCCTCGTCTGTGAACGCCTCCTCGTATGGGAGAGCCCCCACTCGCCTTCATCCTGGTCTTGCTACGATTCGGCACAAACAGAAATAAAGGATATTGGAGTTGGAGATAGAGTGTATCATGCATGGTCCCAGCGCGTGAACTTCTTTTGCTTCTGGTCTCGAGACTAGCGATAGGCCGGCTCTTTACGTCGGGCATTGCCAGCTCCTTGATCTATGATTTACGAATGATGAATTTTTGGAGAGGATGTGTACAAGGAACGTTTCTTGATTCCAGGATCAGAGGGCTGCGCCGCCACTTGTTGTATCAACACCTGTTTGTACATTAGCATCGGCGATTTATCACGCCGAATATAGAACCAGAGGCATAGATCTCAATGAGCCATAAATTATAAATATGTTGTCGATACCGACTATGAAGGCAACTCTTTGTTGAGGTCATGGATAATGCTTGGTATGGGTGTGTTGTCATTGAAACAAGGCGCTTCGTCAAGAAACTGGAATGGTATGAAGTCAACATTCCCACGACATCATCAAGCATCCTTATCAACATACCTCGATTGGGGTGTGAGGTCATTCTGCAGGTGATCTGTTTTAGCCGGACAGACAGATAGCTTACTAACTACTCATACGTGCTTATCTGAATCACGTGGCACAAGTCAGTACCCGTCAACGCACGAAGCTTGTGCCCGCGAGTATGTTCTATTACGGCTCTGGAGGTCGAGTCAGTACGGTACTATACTGTCTCCGATACCACCAGGCTTAACGGGGTGTATTGAAAACAGATTTATGGTACCGTACAGCACGGAGCATATGATAGCCATGACTAATATTCTGCAACCGGCATAAACTACAGTAGGTAAGTCCAGACTTAGCCGAACTAACAGGTAGTAGTGTAGTAACTTAAGTTCTAGACATGTAACCTCAAACAAATCCCAACTAAAGTTACCGAGTCAGACAACTGGGGTCGGCACATTATGATTGCCCTTACCACATGTTCAGTAACTTACACTTGTGGACTGGAGTTCCACCATCTATATCTTTGTACAGTACTATTCATTCACACTGTCACTCACATGGCCCCCAAGCGCATAAATAATATAAGGGTCACCTTTTTAGTAGACACGACAACGCACCTGAATCGCTCTAGGAGCCAGTGAAAGTGGCCCGAAGCTCCGCAGCTGATAAGGTAGAATGCTACCGTGGCAGCCGCGGACCCGACTGGGTCCCCCGCATTCGGCTAAGCTTCAGCTGCCCGATGTCACCGTCGCAAATTCAATGATGGGTTGGGTGTCTGTTCCCTCACCATCTTTCTTTCTTTCTTTCATTTATTCGTTCATCTATTGACTTATCAAGTAATTAGTCTCAGGATCCATGAACAGTTTATCAGAATTTGGGTCCGGTGGTCAAGTTAGCCAGTAACTAGTTTTTTCCCCAAAGCTGACAAACCACTCGCAGACCTAAATACAGGTACCCATGCGGAGGTGAACCCGCTCGCCCCAGACCAACCGTCAAGTGGAAGTCGGTGGTTCTGGAGCTCGTTACCGTCCGTAGATAGGTCTGCCTGGGATCATCGTTGAATCATTGACAATCCCCGATGAACAGTACTTGGGGGGTTCGCTGTTCTTAGCCCGGCAAGTAAAACAGGCAGGCAGGCAGGTAAAAAATTATTTAAAATCCTGCCGCGTATCACTCACTACCTCTGCAAAGTTTGTATGTACTTATATGTACTCTTTTTTCTTCCCTCCTTTTCTTCGCCAGGCCTTCTCGCCCCAAACTTCTAGCGGTTACCAATTACCACTTTCACCTCGTCTACCTACTATCTACTACCTACCTGCCTGTCTGCAGTCGGGTGGATCATCATCCCATGTGGACGGCGATCGACTCGCAACTCTGCCGCTGCAGCTTCTGATTCGTGGCTAAAGAGGCAACTAAACAGGTACCGACGATAAGGTACTGAGTACTACTAGTCTACTAGGCTAGGTACAGTACCCGTGGAATACTGTTAGGTACCTAGGTAGTTATTCATTATCTTCCCTGCCTCGTTATCCTCCATTCATTTACTCAAAGGTTATCTTGTTGTCGCATCTCAGCCTTTCTGGGTATTTTTTTTCCCCTCGCGGCTTATCCTAGGGTGGTATCCACCACCTTCAGTTACCAAACTCAATCAACATCAACATCAACCTCAACATCAACAACCACAACCACAACCACAACAATAATCAGCTCACATTTCCCTAATCTGCCGCCTGTCGCCTGTCGCCTCTTGCCTTCCGCCCCCTCCTTTTCCTCCTCCTCTTCTCCCTCAACTTAACAAGATATTTATTTCCTGATTTCCTTCCCACTCTCCACTTCGCCTCTCTGTCACTAATCTTACTGGCAATTCGATAACAGTAAGTTCCAGCACACCGAGATCAGAATCCTTTCTCCCTCCCGAGACTATTTGTTTTCCTGTCCACCCCTACATTCTTACCCCGGATCGTCCTCGAAACAATCTCATCCCTTGTCACGCCTTGGTTTGAAAAATATTTCCGTCGCTAGCCTTGTGTGTGTGTCCCCGGAAACCTACATATTTCTATAATTTTTAGTTCCCGCCTACCTCTCTCTTTCTTTACTCGAGTGATCTGATTTCTTTTCTTTACTTCGTTCGTTGGGTAGTTCTCTCCTTTCTCTCCTCCATTCCCCCTCTTCCTCGGGTGTGCTCACTGTCCAGTCTTTGACTTTCTCCTCCCTCCCCCTCCGTTATCTCCTGCGGATTCTATTTTCTTGCTCCGGCACTTATCTCAGTCCCGCAATTATTCTTAGGATCTAGACACATACATCACTTGTCGTTATCCCACTTCACTTTGTCAATCTTGGCCCTACTCTACCGCGCAAGATTGGACGGCTGACCGTGTCTTTGCTTCTACTACTTAGCGAGTGGCAGAAAAGTCCCCAGTCACTCCTCACGTCTCAAACGCAACCGGCTGTTCGACCTGGGGGATTTAAACAAGAATGGCCACAACAACTGGCCCGGAGAGTCAGCAGCTCGAAAAGGAGGTGCAGGCTGTCACAATCGACCCTGAGGCCGGCCAAGACCACCGGCTTACTGGCAAGTCCTGGATGTATAAATCTTTCAAGGTTGGCCCATGGACTCTGCCGTACTTTGCCTCGCCTGATGCACAGCTTCTCCTTGTCTCCTTTGTCTGCTTCCTCTGTCCGGGAATGTTCAATGCCGTTAGCGGCCTCGGAGGCGGAGGTCAGCTAGGCTTCAAGGACGTGAACAATGCCAACACCGCCCTTTACAGTACCTTTGGGGTTGTTGGGTTTTTCGCAGGCTCCGTTGCGAACCGCATTGGTCTGCGTTTGACGCTCTCAATTGGTGGCTTTGGTTATTTTCTCTATGTCGCATCGCTACTGTCTTACAACCATAACCAAAACTCTGGCTTCCTGATCTTTGCTGGTGCACTTTTGGGCGCCTGCGCTGGCCTACTGTGGTGCGCCCAGGGTGCCGTCATGATGAGTTATCCGAACGAAAAGGAGAAGGGTAAATTCATCGCCATTTTTTGGGTGATCTTCAACCTTGGCGGCGTCATCGGCAGCTTGGTATTTATCCTTGGCCTTGACCTCCCATCCAAAACTAACGCTTTTGCATTGTAGGTGCCTTTGGGTCAAAACCTCCACTCGGTGGCTGGTCAAGTAAACGATGGGACTTACATTGCATTCATGGTACTCATGGCCCTGGGTTTCGTTCTGGCCTGGGGCCTAGCCGATTCAAAGTACGTCAAGCGCAAAGATGGCTCGCACGTTATCGTCATGAAAAACCCTACCTGGAAATCCGAGTTTATGGGTCTCTATGATACTCTCCGCACCGACTACTATATTCTCCTCCTTTTCCCGATGTTTTTGACAAGTAACTGGTTTACGGCGTACCAGTTCAACAGCGTCAATGGTGCATACTTCACCATCCGTACACGAGCCCTCAACAATCTGCTTTACTGGCTGATGCAGATGCTCGGAGCGTTCGTCTTTGGGCAATTACTGGACTTAAAGTTTCTCTCTCGGCCCACCCGAGCCAGGCTGAATCTTTTCATTTTGTTTGTTCTCACCATGGGTGTTTGGGGTGGAGGTTATGCGTTTCAGAAGACCTACACTCGCGAAACAGTCAAGGCGGATACCGACTGGACCAGTCACGGCTTCGTGGGCCCAATGTTTCTGTACATGTTCTACGGGTTCTATGATGCGGCTTTTCAGACTTGCGCATACTGGTACGTTTGACCGCTTGCTTAAAAAACCCTCCGTCTTTCGTCACTTGGTTTTGTGATGGCAACAAATGGACTAACCAGGTGGACTATAGGTTTATGGGCTCTCTGACAAACAACGGCCGCAAGCTGGCAAACTTCGCTGGATTTTACAAGGGCATTCAGTCCGCTGGTGCAGCAGGCATGTGGCGGTAAGTCCCCATCACCATGCATTCCCCTACTTATATCAGTCACTAACCGGCTTGATACATAGGTTGGATGCGGAGAATACTCCCTTCATGACGGAATTCGCTAGCTGCTGGGGTCTCCTTGCTGGCAGTATTGTGATTGCCTCTCCTGTAGTTTTCCTCAAGATCAAGGAGCACGCGGACATGGAGGCTGATTTGCGCTTCTCGGACGAGACCGCTCAAGAAGTGGGGGTATCTGTGCCTTTAGAGGAGCAACAGTCCATTGATAAGAAGGATGAGAAGCGCGCCTCTCTCAGTTGATTCTTCTCCTTAACTAGAAATGCTTGTCCATGAAAGGATGGCGATCTGGTTACACGAAGCGATGCTGCGATGATGAACTCACTGGTCTGGGCTTAGTTGCTGGTGCTTCTGACCCCTTGACGCATATTCTTTGTTCACATCTTCTAATTTCTTTAATATTCATATTTCATAGTTCCTTTGCTGATACCAGGGGTAGGAGCCCTTAATGACATATTTCCTCCACCGTTACCCTAGCCATTCAACTTCCGCTTGTAATTACCTCATCTGAACAACTATTTTTTGAGTGTCGTATCCTTTCATGCCGGGGTTCCATACTCTGAAATAATGTATAGGTCTTCGGGCGATTCCATGTTTCCCGCTGTAGTGCAGCTATCCCCCTGAACTAGACATTTCTGCGCTCCAGGACAAGATAAGAGGCCTGACGGCAAAAAGCAAAAAGTAGAGCAAAGAAGCGAAAGCTACAACCAAAAGCTGGGGCCAAGAAATATGATGAAAGCCCCCAAGCCTGCGTGAAAGACTAGACCACCTGCCCCCCCTGATTTATTGTTCCCTAGCCATGCCATCAGGGGAAACATCGTCGGGGCTTCAAATTTTCCGAGAGGTCCTTTTCACCCGGTTCTTCGTTGGATTTCGGCACCAGCAAAATTTGCGTTGAGCCGGAGTACAAAAAAAGATCGGTAGACGCATAGGCAATTGGTCCATCTATGACTTTGGCGCCACACTGTAGTTGACCAGGAGACTGTGCGGGCGTATGCCGGTTCTTATTCTCTGTACTATACCGGACACGCGCAGTCCTCTGCAGAGCTGTAGAACTATATTATGTGCAGGCGCACCAGCCTATTTTCCAGGTCATACAACCTACTACACCCCTCCTGTGTGATCCCAGCCCGGATTGGATAGTTCTCACAATGGCAGTCGGTGCCTGCATCAGGTGATGTTTTGCATCCCACATACATAAATCTACCTTCGGTATATATACTGTTATTGAGTATTTCGGCCCCCAAGAATTTGTTGTGTAGGTACCGTACCTAGGGTCGCAGTATGCGATCAATACGCATACCGATCAGTCCAGCTCCAAGAAAGCGAGGTTGACTCGCATATTACTTGGCAATTCTGCTCAAACTATGAATTGTGGCAGGCAGCCGGCAGCAGTCTGCCGAGCTGCATTGGTTCATTCATTCACTGATGGGGCCGATGGTTGGGTGTAACTGCGAAAGTCACAGGAGGTAACTTATCTTTTGACTGCACCTCCAGGTTGCGTGTGTGTCAGGGCCAGATGTGTCTGGACTTGACTGATAGAAAGCGGGGCTGAAGGGTTGCTTGTGCGCCATCGAGAATGGAGCAACGGTTGAAATGCACATACAATACCGGTAATGGTACATTGACCGCTAGACTGGAACTCCGCAAAGGCCCATGATGAATCCGCAAGTGTAACAGTACAACAGCTCCATCGGGCGGGGCGGGGCGGAGCGGTCAGCCCTGACTATGTACTAGTTAGTCTCTACTAGACTATTTATCTACCTAGGCAGATCTGGAGTTGAGGATGCTCTCAACCCAATATTATAGTTCATATGCCACCTGCCAGTGCCATGTACACGTTTTCATATTCATCAAATGTCCTACGGCTAATTGTGCGGGTTATATACATACTATGACGGTAGGCACAAATGCCAACTCCGTCACAGAAACGAACATAGAAAGAGTTATTAGCCGGGTCCCGCAAAAAGAGTTCACCCATCCCTGAAAAGGTGAATAAACCTACACATCCTGCCTGTATTCTAGGCTGTAAAAAAGGATGTTCAGTGTATGTGCGTTATTGGGCAAAACAGGCCAGCATCACGATCAGTAAATACACGCACTTTAGGGGGCGAAGAGGAAGAAAGACACAGGTAAGATTGCACTCGGGAAGCGGTGAATAGCATCACAGGCCAAGCTTAAAGATTCAATCCGAGATCGGCATCGAGGTCGGATGAGATTGTATTCATCCCAGCCCGCCCCACTCCAGGGGCGCGCTCGTCAGAGATTTGCTCATCTTCCAGACTCGGAAGGTTGAGACCTTTCCCCATCGAATTGAACGCAGCCATGTCGGGTAAGTTATCCAAGGCAGTTAGTCCCAAACTAAAGCCTTTACCGCCAGTGAGTCCGGTGGAATTGATGCTATCGTCGACACCCAAAAAATCGGCCCCCGTGTCGTCAAAATTGATGAGAGCATCGAAATCATTTTGAGTGACCTCGGCATCATTCGCCAAGTCCATCAATTGGCTTAGACTTAATTCGGAATCCAGATTAGGGATGCTAAATGCATCCTGATGATAGCTCGGGTTTATGTTGCTTGTGCTGCCATTCTCGCTACCGTCAGAAGGCGGCGGGGTAGAGGCAAAGGCAGGCCCGCTTTCCGCAGCAAGTTGTTCGACAAGCGCGGTTGTGTCAGACTTCGGATATGTAAGGTCGGGAATCTTCTGTGCCAAAGAATCTGGGGGTGGAGTCAAGGCATTGGCCCGAGTCGTCGCGCCAAGCGTACTGCTGGACCTTGAGTGCACGTCCTGTGGCGCGACTGTAAGCTGGATCCCAGCCTTTCGGATCGCAGCCTCCAAAAACGATGTCGCGAAATCGGCAGACGCATAAATTTCTCTTAGGCGCTGCAGGATCCGCATGCATTGATAGAATCGTTGAAGGCTGGTCATCCGGATTGTGGGATCGCTAGACTTGATATCGAGAAGATGAATTATGACCGCGGGAAGTAGAACCGTGACGCCGGTCGTAGGGAAATATCGCGTCAAATCAAGACTGTGTAGATCCTGGGCGATGTTCGTGATCTCGATGGCAGCATACCTGACCTTGTTCCTTGACATTTCCTGCAATTCAGCATCCGTGGATGGAAACGGGATAGCAGGGAGAACCTGCGGGCGGTGCAGGGCGCTGGATGTGGTCAAATAGACCATTTTCAGCAAAGCGCGATGGGAATGAAGCACCTCTTGGGCCTCGCCAAGTTTGGCGGGTGCGGCAGGGGCATATTGAATTTCGGTGGGAAGATGGGCCAGCCAATCTTCCAATTCTTGGTCACATCGGCGGACCTCAAACGTCTCTGCTGCCGACTTTTTAGGTACCAGCATCATCGTAGTCTCCATTGTCCCGCCAAACTTATGGCTCAAGACCGAATACTGCGCAGACAAAACGTGGCTGACACACAAGCAGAGCTTTGCCTTTTCAATGAACATTAGGGCTAGCTCTCGCTGGCGTTGCGGGTTCTGTAAGATTTCCGAGTTGCCCACCATGCTCACAATCTCAGGGGAAAACGGCTGAAACTCAAAATCATCAAGGGTTAACATGGGAACGTCACAGTCGTCGTCTTTTACACGCATGGGCCGTCTCATCCCTAGTGCGATCAGGCGATCGCGTGTATATGTGCTCCACCAGATCCGTTTCCACATTCGTTGACGCCGAACATCCATGCGTGAGTTACCCGGATCTCGGTGTAGGCCAATCGTGTGGGCGAGAGACAGGCTTACACCCATCCAATGCCAGGTATCCTTCTGATCATCCGGTGTCTCATACCAGTATGTCATCAGGAGCAGTGATTGAACAAGTGAGATCCGGTCAACCTCGTAGTCGAAGTCGTAAAGAAGCCTTGCTCGCTGGAAAAAAGCTTTGCGCGCCGCTTTTCGGGAAGGATAGCCCGCTGCATGAAGGTGCTTCAGGCCGATGAAAGCCGTGCCCGCAAACATCACAGCCTGGAAGAGTAATAGACTCATTCGACGGATGCCGTCATTCTGAACAATGGTCTGCAAAAAATCTTCCAAGTCAAGGAGGGGCATGTAAGTATGCACGTAGTGTATATAGCTTTTGAGCAGCTCGTTGCGCAAACCCACGTCGGGGACGGTCAACGCCCCTTTCTGGTATAGGTACTCAATGTCTTCCTTTTGAAGACGAGGTGGCAGACCACGAATGTAATCAGGCAGAGCGACTCCGCCCGTTCTTGGCCTCGCAAAAGAGGGGTCTAGCATTTGCTGAATCTGTGACGTGACGTGGTGCAATGGGAGAGTTGCCGGAACAGCCGGATTGGGCGCCACTCTTCGTCGAAAGCGATCTCCAGAGCCGGCTCGATTGACTTGACTCTGATCTAAAACATGATTATGGATTAGACAATGCTGGGCGCAAGTTGATATCCAAGTAGAAGCGACTGGAGGATCAATACGCACACAAAAGATGGGGAATGTGCTGTCCTTGGTCTAGATCCAGTGACCGTTGGGACGGAGACGCAGGAGCGACATCTGATAGCCCCTGGGATTCGCTCAGTCTGCGGAAGAGATTGGAAGCATCCTCAGCGCCCTCGGCAGGAGAGTGCGAGTGCAGCTGTGAACTGCCATTGTCGCCTTCCACACGTGATTTCCTGTATAGTGGCAACACGGCGCGTTTGAGGTTAGCCGGGGATTCTGCGGAGTGGAAATCAAACGGGAGACAGATTCGACATGAACGAACTTTCTCCTCTTGCTCTCAGTGACAATGCACTCTACTTGATCCAGGCGACAATTGGTGCATGGTGATCCATTCTCGACCACATCACAGCGCACCTTACGAGCCCGACAACAACAGCAGGCCTTGGAAGCCCGCCGTTTCACGGGACGGGAGTTGGCCGGCAGACCAGCTGTAGAGGCCTTGCGCTTGCTTTTGGAATCAGTCTCCATAGGAGTGTTGGATGCCGATGGCGGTGATGCGGCGGAATTGGTCATTGTTATGAAGAAGCACGGACTAGAGTTGATTCAGTCCATACGATGGTAGTAGATGAATGGTTGAGGGTGGACAAGATAATTAATATGTTGAAGAATGAATATACTCGAAGGAGAGCGAGCCAAGAAGAAGTGTGAAAGGGGTAGTAACAGAGATGTTATAAAATAAGTTTGGTGATCAGAATGAGACGGTGACGGAAGAGTGGAGATGTAAATCTTTCTTTGGATTGCGCGCTCTTGGGTTTCGTTCCCCTCTAGAACCGTGATATATGCAAGTATTCCCAGAGGTGATGAATAAAAAAAGAGGTTACGTGAGTTGAGATGTCTTTTGCTTTTGCTTCTGTTCTTCTTTCTCTCTCTCTCTCTCTCTCTCTCTCTCTCTTTTGTAATTGGTTCTTCCTTTTTCCTGGGGGGATAAAACCCGGGGAGATAAGAGGCAGGAGATCACCGGACCAGGTTTCAATCTTCTCGTCCAAAGGGACGGTAAGTCGACACACGACGCGGGGGTCGGGGAGGAGAATGTTTAAGTACTAAGTAGGGATTTTAAATAATTTGGGGGAGAAAAAAACCCTCACTTCCAAAAATGTCATTTCCATCCGTCAATCAGTTAGTAAAGTACGGAGACTCATAGCCTCTCAGTCTTGTAGCAATGGGGAGGGAAAGGGAAAGGGAAAGGGAAAGGACCAGCCCCAGATCCACTTTAGTTGTAGTTACTAATGCAGTTAGTACTCGTTTGCCTCCCCCAGACCAGAACCGTGGGATTGTTACCGCTCAAAAATGGCAGAGGAAGGAAAGGCGGCACAGCGCGTGAGGGAACAGCGATAATACTTACTACGGAGTACTACTACGTATGTGGAACTAGACTAAACTAATCAAACCACTCAAGCCACCCAAACTAACTTCCTGGATCTGGAGAATCATCATCATCATCATCATCATCATCATCGCTATTAGTTAGTTATTGAAGAATACTGACTGTAGTCACGCTGGCCACCTGGCAGAAAAATAGGCGCAACAAAAAGAGCAAAAAAGTGGGCGTCAGATAAAGTCGGCTAGTACTAACCGGGCGACTCGAGAGTCTCGAGGAAGAAAGCGGGCCACGTTCGGTGGGGAATTCCTGTTCATTGCGAGCCAGTCATTGCCGCTGCTTACTGTACGAAGGCCTACCCCCACTGCCGTGACGCCGTATCCATCCGACTTTCACACTTTCAGGCTTCCAACAGTCAATGTTACCAGTAACAACTAAAACAACAGTGAACAACCTTCCCTCCAGGTTCTTTCTTTCCCCTCTCCACTTCGCCACCATCTTCCTCCTCCTCCGATTCTCGAGCGGCAAGCCCCAGGTTGAGCGCTTCCCCCCCACCCTACCCCACTCCACCTTCTCCGATCGCCAAAAAAGCGAAAAATACAATACAACAACAAAAAAGAAAAAGGAAAAGTCCGAAAAGGCGGCCCCATCCAAAGAGGAAAGGAAAAAGGTGCAGTGGACCGAATCGGTTTCCAAGTTCTCCCCAGCTGCTGCTATAGCCGGAGGTTTCCGTCTTGTGCTTTCAGTAAAGGAAAGACATCCCGGCTGGCCCCACTCTTCTTGTCCCTCTCACTAGCCAGTGAGCCAGTGAGACTGTGAGTCAGGAGTCAGTGAGTGGCTGTTGGGCCTCTCAAGTTCTCAACCGCTCCAGGATTTGAAGCTTTCCCAGCCCATTCTCTCCGATAAAGGCCACATCGGCCCGGTCACGTGTTTGAGTCGGCTGTCACAAACGTGTGGATGTTTGATCAATCAGTTAACATTCTTCTTGGCTACCCTCGGACCAGAGGAACCAGGTGCAAACTTAAGACTACTATGGATTATCTCTTTGGAGTAGTGTCTTCTTCATTCAGGCCATGGGGCTCCTGTGGCTGTTAACAATTGGTGATGGCTCAGGTACTTGGTACTCGATCGTAATAGTGCTCCTGGCCGAACTGTTAGCCAGAACTTGGTCAGCAGCTGCGTCATTTGAATCGGAAAAGATTCCGAGCCTGCGCAGCTGTGACTGGCCGAAAGACAAGCCTGTGGTCCCCGGTCTGATTTTCAGGAAAATCGGGGTCGCTTCCGTCGGCTCCCTCGAGACTTCGTGATGGCCCATACCCGGGAGGAAGTGCCGAACGGCCCCTAGTTATCCTCTCGCTGGACCCCGGGAGACAATCATTATTTCATTCCAGTCTTTCCTACTGGACAAGTGAAGAAGGAGGAACGAATGGGAATGTCGATTTTAGCTTTGCTTACGTTGTCCGGGGATCTTGCAAACCAAATCCCAGCCGTAGGGGCTGTCTGTATGGCACATGCCACTATGACGGAATTCGTCCATTCCAGAGGCTTCAAGCCGTGTCACAATAGTAGGCGCCTCGAAGGAAGCAAATACTATGTAATATCGACTGCTGCGTAGTATTTATGTTGGCCACGTACCATTCTCACTATCAGAGACCTAGTTCCTCTTCCACTCCTTGCCCGGGGTATCAAAAGCCGAGCTCATTTGTACCAAGAGATAACATGTGCCATAATCACAGGTCTGTCGGAAAAGGCGCATGTTGTGCCCGGGTAATCTGAAGGTGCTCACAAGCATTGACTGCTGAGGAGGACTGTTCGGTCTTAGTGCACCAAATCTTGCTCCTTGTTCTTATTGTATTACTACAGTACATACATACACAGTAGGCTGTGATTACTGTCTATCAGATCTCCGCATTTACACATTGGGCCTAAGAGTGGGAGTAGCAGCCTAGCACAGGCCCACAATCACCCACCCCATCAGCTGCCCGATGTGGAATTGCAGCCGATCCCGCACGCCGATGAAAGAAGAATAACTTATACGGGGCACTGTACTTACTCTACAAGGTCCAGCGTTCAGTAATAACCACACCCTGCAATGGACGCGCAAAGGTTTCGAGTAGCCCTAGAGCTGAAAGCACGCCAACGGGGCTAAGCACTTCTGTCCCCACGGAGGCTGCTCTGACTCCCTGGGAACGAACAGTCTCGAATCTCTACGGGAGTGAAACTAAACAAGCACTCTCCCACGTGATGCTCCGGGTTTTGTTTTTTTTTTTTTTTTTTTTTTTTTTTTTTTTCTTTCTTTTTTTTCACCCCGTGGCCGATGTCACGCGCCATAGTGCCGGTGAGCGGCACTTTGCCTGCAGGGCATCCCGGTCACAGGCTCACAGTCTGACCGATAGGCGAATAATTTGTTCCCGAGACTCCGAGTCGAGGCTTTGGCTTTGAGAAATGCTGTCACAGTCTACATCGTATGCCTTCAACCTATAAACCCTAATCGTGATCAAATGATCCAAAGCTAGGGGGAGTAAGAGGAGAGAGGTAGGAGCGTTAGCAGTAGGGACATGACGGAGGGTCGAGTGTGTTAACTGGCGATAATCGGAGGAATCCAAGAAGCGGGCGTTAATTTACCCCACATTATAACTCGAGTAGCAGTCTAGCCACAGTACTGTACTCCGTAGCCAGTGAGTGAGCAGGAGTTGATCAATGGTTCCGGTTAGGTTCAATGTTCTGATCCTTGACCAAGAGGAGCGCTGTGCCCTTGCAGCCCTTGCACCTATTGCCCTTTCAACCCAGTGTGAGTTCTGCTCGAGAGCTTGTCCCATGAGAACATCTGCTTTCTTGACTTATTTATGTATTCTATTCATTATCTGGATATGATAATTTTTTTGGCGAAATCCAGATTGATGACAAACAAGCATGGAGCTATCACAAGCCTGGGGACTTGAAAAGGAGGAAATGCGATTGGGCAAGTGGTCAACTTCCGACGCCTCCGCTCAGCTCAGCTCTCACGAGGGATTTTCCTTACGGAATCTTTCCCCACGGCACGGCCGGCGGATCACCGATGTGTGACAGGAAGTGGAAGCTTGCTGTTATGAGTAATAATAGGAACTCGTTCTAGAGCACCGAATCCATGACGAATGGTGGAAAACTTCCAAGTTCCAACCCGCTCCGGATTCCAGATACTCCCCCCCCTTTCCTTCCCCCCGCCCCTCCCCCCGCCTGGGGTTTCATAAAACGCCCGCTACATCCGACACAAACTGACTGGCTGCACGGTCAGCCGCTCGCCTCTGTGGGTCATACGTGCAACTGCCTATTTGAGACACCTTATTACTTGATCCAATTATTCTTATGACTTATATCTGCTCGTTTAAATGAAAGGGAAAGGGACAATACCTTAGAAACATCTCCAAGGATTAGTGGTCAAAGGCGGACGGCAACCCAATTGACCATACACGGCAGACGCGCTCATAGAGAATTCAGTAGAGACAGAAAGCCTGGAGGAGAGCGAAAGGAGGGCACTAACAGTAACTACAGCACTATACTATGTACCTAAATAAGTTACCATCTGGAAGGAACTTCAGTGAATTTGTATCCTCCAGGACAGGCGGTGGTCAATCTACGATGCTCCCCCTACTGTCCCTAGTTCATTGCGAGCAACTAATTGATACCCATGATATAGCAGATTCATTGACTTCATTTCAAATATTTCAGATAGGGAGTAGTTGGTTTACTCGCTACAATGTATCATTAAGCACATAAATATTGTCCTTCCCATACCGCACAATGGCAAAACGCCCCCTCAGGATATCTCAACGCAAAAGAAAAAAGTAAAAACTCATATACGCATCCTAGGCACCTCCGCGGCCCATACGTTCAATGGAGCCCATGATGCCACTCCGCCCCGGGGTGAAAACTGCAATCCCCGATTTACTGCCGCTGTTTCCGCGACCTTGTCGGCTGACCGGCACCCCGATCTTGGGAATCTTCCTTTCTCGTTCATACCCTGCGCTTGTGCTAGGAGGACGGGTGCTGCTGGAGGAACCGCCTTGGCTAATATTCCGCTGAACATTCTCGGGTGCTGGCTCAGTTGTAATGGGCAACGGCTCCAGCGACTGAGGCATCTGGGCATGGGAAGACTGGGAGAGACTTGGTTCGCTCGGTTGAATCGGCTGGATTGACAGCCATTCATCAACAGCAGCCACAAGCTCGCCTTTTTCCGCTCGCTCAACCTTCAACTCAGCATGCAGACGTTCGGTCTCGTCCTTGAGAATGACCACCTCCTGCTGGAGATCTTTAACTTGTGCCTCCAGTACGCGCTTTTCTGGCTCGATCTCTTTGGATTCGTGGGAGAATAGGCTCGAATTAGCCCGTGACGCTTCCGACAGAACCGTATTCCGCTCTTTCCTCAAATGTTCATTCTCCTCAGTGGCCACCTTCAACTTATTTTCAGCCTGATGTACCCGTTCCTCCCAACGAGCCTCATAGCTCTTCTTCAACGCCGCCACCTTGGTCTCATGCTTCTTTTGATAAGCAGTGTGAAGCTCACGTGCAACTTTCTTGACGGCATCTTGGACCTCCTTCGCAGTCGCCTCGGCTGTCTTCACACTAGGAGAATGCGTAGCCGAAGAGCTTTTCTCTGAGGCGGAGTTGCGAGAAGCGGTTAATTGACTCTGCAGGTCCAGCACTCTCCTTTCCAGGTGTTCTTTCATTTTCTCAGCGTCAATGGCCCTCTTGACTAGTCGCTCCTTTTCCTGTTCGCCTCCGACAATTTCGGCTTTCATATTGCGCAGAACAGCTTCCAACTCATGGCCCCTGTGTTGCCATTCGGCTTGTTCGATTTCCAACGTTTCTCTGCGAGTTGACTCGTTGCGGACCTCCTCCAGTGCCTCGCCAACACGTCGCTCGGCATCTGCAACTGCCTTTTTGAGACTAGCAACCTCCGCCTCTTTGCCGCTGAGCGTAGCCTTGAGGGAAGAGATCTCAGATAGAAATCCAGATTTCAAGGACTCGAGCTCCCGCGGGGTGACCGTGGGAATGGATCGAGGAGTTGGAATGCTGGGTATGTCGAAGTCTAATAGGGAAGCCTTAGTAGGTGAGTTCACTGCATCTCGAGCATTTCTCAGTGGTGATCGTCGCAATGGCGAGTAACGCTCATTCTGCATATTATGGCGTGCACGTGAGAAGAAAGCAGGCTGGTCTGCGAAATCGAGCAGATTGGGAGTCACATCGGTGTCTTTAAAATCTCTCTTTTTTGGTGTTATGAGAGGCGATGGTTGACCAGCGTCAAGCGAAGCGGGTTTTGTAGGCGACTTTCGTGCGGTCCGAGATGTAGCCGGTTCCGTGCTTTCGGATTCATAGTCTTCTTCCTGGCTCGGGCTTCCTGAGAGCGATTTCTTGGACTTGTATGGAGAGTCACTTCGCAGTTGAGCGAATGTAGTCATATCAGGCACAGCAGAGAAGGTACTGAGTCGAGTATCATCTATAGAATCATGAAAGTCATCATTCGTAGGGTCGTTGGCTTCGGGTATGTCGATAAGTTCATCATTGTCTAGTCCATCGTCAATGGATTCATTCTTATGAAGAAGAGCTGCCACGCCCTCGTTGTCCTTATTCTCAACCATGCCATGGATAAATCCTTGGCCTATCCTTTCTGCTACGCTCTGCTGGTCGCCAACAGGCTCAATATCGTCATCAGCGGAGACGCCAATCTCTGAAGCTTCCCGTCGACTGGCCACTTTTTTGTACCTTTCCTCCGACTCTTCGTCCGTCTCCTGGTAGTCAGGTACCTGCTCATAGGAGCGTTTTCTAGGAGTTGCGAAATGCTCGCTAATGCTCTCTAATGGCTGCCGGGTTATGGCTCGCAGCCTCGCAAAATCAACTGTTTCGTCCCTTCCCTCAAGCTGAAATGGTGAGCTAGGTGCGATTTGCAAGGATGCCACATCCGCGTTGTCTTCTTCCCGATTAGACGACTCGTAGCCAGCGTCATGATCTTCGTCGACCTGAAGTGATATCGGTACGTCGTCGATCGACTTTGACGGGCTGGAGAAAATGTTTTCCTGCCCATGAGTAAAAGGTGACCCCGCTTCAACGTCCCCTTTCTCTATGGCGTCATCATAGTTTGAAGAGAGGACGCGAGAGTTTTGGCGCGAAGACGTCCACGGTGATAGAGGTGTGGACATGGCACCAGGAAGAAGTGGTGGATCACAGGTGACAGATAGAGACTTTGGGAGATGAGTAGGTAGAAAAGGCACTGCAGTACCCTCAAGCTGAAGGGGAATGAACAATCCCTGATTCGGTGCACTAAGGCAGTGGGTGTCTGTTGATGCTCAAGATCAGTCTGAACTCGGCGTTTATTATGATTTTCCGGCCGTTGCCAGGATAAGCGATAAACAAAACTAGTCCCAAAGGGGCGACGTACCACACCGCCTTTACACAGCGGTGTGAGATGGCAATTGATGTACCGCCTCACCGCCTTCTGATGGCCGGCGAGTTTAGAGTGCTTGGGCACGCATGACTTCACTCTTCTCAGATGCGATTGAACAGGCAGGAGACCACTATCCATCCTGAGCACAGATGTCGTTCTTATGCCCTTGTGCTATCATATTGCCAGTAATACTAATGTATCTATGTACATCACTCCATTTATACCGGAACACCTTGCAAACACTCGGATGTGAACTTCCCAACTTTTTCAGACTGTGCATGTATTCAAGGTACGGCTTAGCCCGACTAATGCCGCAAGTAAGAATCCACACAACACAGGGACATGGGCAGGAGACGCTGATGGTGGAGTGAGCTGCTATAATTCAAGCCCGTTGTAAGTTTCTTCTACCATATGCAAGTTCCTCTCGGCTTGATGGCCAATGTCGGCTTCAGCTTCTGTCACGATGATATGAACAGCTTCTTGCTTCCACGTAGATGCATCTGGTGCATAACGGCAGTGCGCAGCAGGCTGCACAACAATAGAGCTGTGCTTCTTCTGTTGGATGAAGCACATTTGCACTGCCCCAATAATGGCAACTAGAGTGCTCCCCCACCACGCGAGGGCGGTGCATTGCATCCTGACACCGGTGCTGTATAAGAACCCGGCAATTGGCGGAGCCAAGGTGCGTGAGAGTGCACCCGCAGATGCCGCGAGCCCATTGATCTTGCCCAGAACTGAACCAGAAGGACTGGCTTGTTTGATGAGGATCAGGAGGACTGGATAGTCGATAATTGAGAGAACGTTGCGAACAGCCAGGCATCCAAAGACACCGGTGAAGATGAAGTCTTGAGGAACATAGATTAAGAACGGGACCATGAAATAAGCAAGAGGGTGCATAATGGTGACGAAGACGAATAGTCGCCACACCCCCATATAATGAGCCAGAACTGGGAATACAAGGCTCTGGATGAATAACGCAATAAGACCGTCACAAGACATAATCAAACCAACGAACTTAGTCGAAAGGCCGACTCCACCGGGGAATCGAAGAGCCGGGGTAGTCAATGAATTGACGTCGACTGCCCTCTTATCTTGCAGGAAGATAGGTAGCAGATGATCGTATGTCATCGAGTGATAGGTGAATATCGCCAAAGCGAGAACAAGCATGGTCACCTGCCACGTGAAGACGGTCTTTCGTTGCGAACTCGAGTCTATCGAGCCATCAGAGCGCACATGCCAATCCTGATCCTCGTGGAGATGCACATGATTGAAAGTCCCGTAAGACTCGGCTCGTAAATCAGCTCCTGCAGTTGTACTTGGTCCTGAAGTGGCCAGTAGAGGATGTGTGACAGATGTGCTACCATGGCCCTCTGCTGCAACTCCATTTCGAGGTTGCATATCAGGGTGTGTCTCGTTCAGTAAAAGCCAGCAAAAAATGATGCTGCAAAGAAGCAAAGCAGAGCAGACCAAATTAGGCAACAAGAAGGGAAATGTCCCAAAAAGCCCGTTCTGAGAGAAGAAAGTAGGATAGCCTTCCGCAGGCTTTGCAAGTAAACCTCCAATAGCTGTGAAGATGATGAGCTTAAGGCCTCCCCTAGTGTAAACGAGACAGGCTTGCGCTTACCTGGGCCGATGATAGTTCCAATCGACCAGAAGAACGGCATGATAGCATATGCTCGAGCTGTGGGAACGGAGTATCAGAAACAATTCCAACACTGCAGATCACTGAATTCGTCAAAGTAAACAAGTGCTTACGTTCGTGTTCGGGGTTTTTAACCAACTCGCCGACCATGGTCTGGATAACTCCGATATTTCCGTTGAGTACACCACCTAAAGCTCGACCGAGCAAAGCTACCCAGAAGTTGGTTGCGAATCCAACCATGAGAAGGGATGCCATGGTGCCGAAACAACCTGAGATAAGAACAGGCTTGCGGCCGACTCGATCCGACAGGCTTCCCCAAAACATACCCGTAAGAGCCTCACAAAGTGAGAAGGTGGAGACAAGGATACCGGCATAGAAAGACGCATTGTTGTCATCAGCCACATTGAAGTCCTTGACCATAACCCATGAGTACGGGAAGATGGATGTGAGGGCAATGGGCTCTGCGATACGACATATCGCTAATCCATGAGTAGTGACGTTAGTAAGACCGCATGTGATGTGTCTCTATTTCGAGCGGCAAAGACTTTGCATACCTAGAAGGAAAAGCTGAGCAGTGGGAAATTCGTCTTCGGAGGTAGATGTTCTTCTCTGCTGTGTTAATACCATCTTCGGACGAATCAACCAAGACTCTTACGGCAGGCCCTCCGCGAAGCAACGACTCTCAATGAAAAATGACTCTTGTGATGTGTTGTAGAAGGGTGCTTTTGTATGTGTTTTCTTTCCCTTTCGGCGCTGATTTATGCTGTCAACGAATAATGCAAGATCCCTTGCTCGCAATGTTCTCCTGCAGTAATTCTATGATCGAGCTTCCGATTTCGATCCCAGACTGGATATGGGAGTGGAGACACGGATATCAGAATGATTGCCAAGAATTTAAACAGTTTTGTAAAGAGCGGTTGTGCAAAGTAATGAATAAAAGACGAATAGCCTAGCGAAAGTGCCTGAATAGAAGTCAGAGAGCTTTGGGGGGAGAGGAGGAGGGAGGGTATGATGGAGGAGATAGTGAAGGGGGAAAGGATAATAGAAAAAGGGAACGTGGTGAAGAGGCGAGGTTGGCGTAGAGTGGAACCCAACTGATAAATAGCTTACTATGCAGTATAAAGTATGGATCTGACGAACAGGACTGCAATTTCCCAAGGCATGCATAAAAGTACAGTACAGTACCTGTACCTAGGACTTGGCCACACCGTCGTAAAGTACTTAGGTTCACCCATGGAACTACCCGGTCTGCCGGCAATCTTGACCTGCCCAACCCGAACAAATCTTCGTGCAAATTTCTCAAGCAGAAAATCGTGGTACAGCATTTGTAAGATACAAGCACATATGTGTACCTATTCATATTCAATGAGTCGCAGGCAAAGTATTCGACAGTACATTTCGATTGGAAAGATCGGCCCTCTTTGGTTTTATATGGCACAAGGTATCTGAAGAACAGCACGGACTATAGTTGCCCCTGCTACAGTTATACGATCAGCAGGCAAACTCAGGCAGTCCAAATTTTAATCCGCTTGCAGATATGAGTCCATGCTGACCTGTGGCACATATTCTCTGTAAAGTGCATTTACTCATACAAAGTCAACAAACTTCGCGCAAGTGGCAAAGAAAAGAATATTCAGTCATGTGGGGAAATGGTCAGAAATGAAAGACCGTGACTGCAATGAGTTCTGGAACTCTATTGACTTGCAACCTTCACTCCCTGCTAAATGACACTTGTCAATGATTGGATAGCAACCTCGCCACTGACTCCGAAAGAAGTATATAAAGTAGACGGCCACGGCAATTGCTCTCTGCTCATTCTAGTACTAGCGCTACTACCGCAAAATATTTATGGCAGGTAAGTTAAGGTTAGCCTCGCACCTTCTGGCCCCGCACTTAAAAGTTCCTGTTCCACCAATAATGCTTGTTTAATATTCCCCTCGGTTGACCACCCGTGACCGGACCGGGCCAACATCAAGTGGACAATCAGCACATTGATGTCCAAGACATTATATACTCAGCTGAAAACCACAGCAGGTATCCTGCATTGTGTCTCAATTATTCTCAATTCTCCGTTCACGAAAACAATACATGACTGTTGAGGATTGACTGAATTTGCATGACATCATAAAAAGGCTTTTGAGTCACCGCGGAGGTCTCCAAGAATGTCATGCCCATGCCAAAATGTTTGTGCCAAAACTGAATCATAGTTTGACGTGTAGGTGTCCACCTGGTACGGGACAAATGGTGTTTCAAGCAATCAAAGCAAATATATATAGTAGTTGAAAGGGGATGACCTTGTCAAGTTTCGAGCCTGGCGGTGACGGCAGCTTTCATAAGAGAATAGAGGGTGGGTCTGGGTAGGTCGAGGTTGACGTTGAAGCTGTTGTCAGTTGATTCAGGCCGCAAAGATGATCTAAGTACACGTGTAGAAGGCAGTGCCGTCTCCCTCTTGTCCGCCATTGCGATTGACGCCCCGTCAGATGAGACCTGAAGGCCGTTCGAATATAATCAAGGCACATCCATCTCTTCCTGATGAGGAGACATCGGATAAAGCTCCTGGCTAGTGTTCTGTACACAGCAATTTTAGGGAGCCAATATGACGCGAACCGTCGAGGATTCTGAAGATCCAGTGGCATTATGCTCTGCATCCGAAGTGGAAATTATGTTTATCTGTTAGAAGCTGCTAGCAACATGGAACCAGCTAATGACCTGCATTCCCCGATATAGGTATATATGATCGTCGCTCTCTTGCAGTCTAGGGTGCGTCAGGATCGCCAAGGTTCACGATGCCATCAACAGGCAGAGTGCAGTACATACCTCCAGCCATTTCCCAATCCAGGGCTTCATAATTGCCCAAGCCAAAAGACTACCCGTTGCAATAATGAAAATGAACACAATGGCCTGGTCTTTTCTGGAATCTCGTTCTACGCGGTGGCAACGATATTAGCGCATCTTTCTAGAGGAGAAGAGGCAAGGTTAAGCCGTACGAAAACATGTTGTGAAGACATCCTCTTCCTTTGCTCCTTTGCAGGTAGGGAGATCATAGTCCAAGCAAAATTTTCGATTACAGTCGTTGCAGCTCAAAGACCGGTAATTCTTAGCTCGCCTATCCAAGAGGTCTTTAGCATCGTCGTGACTTCGGAGACGGAAGAGACTGCTCTGTGTAGACACAGAATTCGACTTTTCGGGATCAAGAGGGATTATTGTGCTGTTGGAGAAGCAAGTACACTTGCAGAATGACGCAGGGGCTGAGATCAAGATTATCTGGTTAGCATGTTTTGCTCGATAGAGGGGACCATGTCGGGCTTAAGCTTACAGGAAGCCACTCCAACAGATGCGCAGGCGAGAAATATGAGGCAAATGAGCAGTAGGTCGAGACCTCTACCATAGAGCTGCATCTTGCTGCTTATCAAGATAGACAGGGTGATTATCCCCTTCTACCATCAGTTGCTGTCTCACGTCTCATGGCTACAGGTCGACAATCGGCTGCTATCGCTACCTCGATTGTTCCCCGGATCCTTGGCGGCACGTGACATTTAGCACTCAATGCCTGCTCCTCTAGTTTAGTGTACAGTACGTGAATAGCAGGAATTTGATCAAGACACATTATGTGGCTACGCCGCGATACGATTTTCTTCCTGCAATACCGACCCATGAAGTGAAATTATTTTGCATGTTTTGAAATATATATGGGGGTGAAAATATTCTAGGATTTGCCTTTCATGCCCTTGCTCCGATTCTCACGCTGCCTGTGATCTTTGGCGACCTCGCGGCGTCTTCTCTTCCATGCACGGTTGTTGTCTCCCCGATTTTCCCAGAACCATTTGACGAAGTCGGAATCCTCTTTGACTCCTGATGCAGCCTTTGAGACTGGGGTATTCATGTATTCGTCATCGTCTGAATCCATAGCCTGAGGCTGCTCGTGCTTGTTCCAATTAATGGTTCGATTGACTAACGCCGTGTCAGGTGTTGGGGCCGCACTTCTCAACTCTCGATCCCGTAGATCCCTCTTTGTGAAAGGTGTAAGTGGTGCTGTAGGTTGGGCTCCCGTCGCACCCTCCATTTCAACATCGTCATCCCCTCCGAAAAAGCTGAAAAATGGCTTCTCCTCTGAAATAGAGTTTATAGCAGATGTGCTAGGCGCGGACCTTTTGAAAAGAGCCTCCAATGGGTGAACTTCCTGGGTTGGCGCTGCCTGATCATTATTTCCTGACGGAAGCGATTGAAGCCCTGACGAATGTGACTCGGTCACAGTCTCCTGCTTGGATGAATTCGAATTTTCTTCTTCGGCGATGCCTAAATCTTCTGAACCACTAGACGAGCTAGACGAGCTAGAGTCATAGCTCTCAGACTCTTGAGAATCTTCTTCGGACGAGGAATCTTCTTCGGACGAGCTCGCACCGCTGGAAGAAGTCCAATCCTCTGATTCATCGGTCGGACCTGCTTCTTTAGTGGTTTTTGTTTGTTTCACTCTGGGCTTGCCAGAATCCGTGGTGTTGTCCTTCTTGACAGCTCGTGGCTTCTCTTTAGTTCCTGGAATGCATCCCGGTCTATATTGGTCTGTCCTTATCCGATCACTGACAGGCTCTTTCACAATTCCACTTTTGTCTATCCAACCCTTGCCTTCAACAAATGTCACTGTGTCCACTGATTCGTCACGTCCAGACCGTAGGAAACTGGGTTGTTTGACCGTCTTAGAAAACTCATGGACGATTGTCTCATGAGCAGGCCTTTTCTTCTTCGACTGTTTCTCATGCTTCTCATCGGGTAATGACATCCGATTAGAAGGGAGTTTTGTACGGAACAGGCACTCTTCCTTTTCGGTATACTTGGACTTCGCCTGCGATTTGGCTGACTTCCCCTCCTTTGCATCCTTCGACTTCTTACTCCTCTTCTCTTCTTTGCGCCTGTCTTGCTTGGCGTCTGCCGACTCTGTCCAACCTCGCTTCACCTTGCGGTCAGTTGGAAGTTCATATCCTTCGAGTGTCTCTTCCGCCGCCTTCCGCTTCTTAGCCTTCTTATCTGACGGGGATTTTGGGGTAATCTTGTCGAGTGCTTCATCCTCACTTCGTTGCCGTTTCTGAGGACGCGCCGTATCCACCTTGAATTTGCGACCTTTTAGGATTGAGCCATTGAGCTTTTTCTTAACCTTTTCCGCCTCCATTGTCGGTAGTGTCACGTAACCGTAGTTGTTTTCCGGGAAGGTTGGCACACAATGAAAGGAAATCTCTGTGGCCAAGGGCCGAATGGCTGGTGGCAGAACGGCGGGGAGAAGCTCTGGGTTGAAAGGAGTGATGTGAAGTCGTTTGGTTTCAGGCGCGGAGTCCGTCATTTGCTGCGTTGAGCACGACTAGATGTGATCTGGAAATGAGCGCTTGTGGTGCAGAGGGATCAACAACGCATCGGAATGGCTTCCGTTGTGATAGGCAAAAGTCTGAGAGAGTCGAAGCAGAACTGATCGAAAGTGGATAGGTATAAAGATAAATAGGCGTGTATAAATTTGCGAAAGAGGAATGTGTATTTTCAAATGTCTACACACATTATCCTATCACAGCCACATCGAGAAAAGAAAAAATAAGAACGCCGAAATTGATAACTGGTCCAGAGCTTGGGCGATGGATTTTCCGGTCCGCGCAGGCCTGGTATGTGGCGCAGCAAAATAGCGGACAACCTCACTAGCCACTTGACTTTTGTTTGTCTGCGATGTGACCTGACTTTGGTTCATGAATAACACATAACATAATTACCATTCAACACGCCAATGCTCATGGTAGCCTCTCAGGTCAACGCCCGACTCCAGTGTATCCTACATAATTCTAATGACGATAGCAGAAAGTAAAAAAAACTCAATAACTGTGGTGTTTACCGCCGCAGTTTTTGCACTGTACAGTTTCAGTGTAATTAAGTAGTCAACGGGCCGAACATCATCAGCTTGGTTGAAGTGATCGATTACAACTTAAGTTAGCGGCTACTATCCGTAGATGCCTATAGTACATAAATTACAATATATGTACGATACATAGACCGCGTATCATACCGTATCCCGTACTCCGGCATAACCAAATCCGTTCCTCGGCCTTGCTGTCTGACGACTGACTGTCTGACTGACTTGACTAACCACTCACTAACTAACCAAGTTAACTAACCTACTGCTGCATTCATGATTATTGATCGCTCGGCCGTCTCTTTTCTCTCCTTCTTCCTCTTCCTGCCCCATCTCTCTCCCATTAATGCTCTTCCTAAACCACGACCAGCCAACTCATCTACTTTGTGGGGATACATTAACACTTTTACGTTGTTCTTGAGCATTCAGTTTCCTTTCCCTTCCCCTCCCTCTCTCTCCCCTTATTCGGCCCCAGACTATCTATCGTCCCGCGGTTAGTTAGCTCGAGCCCGCGCTTCTGATCTCATCGCCGCTTCCAGCTTCATCCTCGTCCGCTCACATGGCCACGTTGGGTTTACTCACACTTTGCTTCCACCTTTTTTCAAGCAACTGACACTCCTCTAACCTATGCGCTTTTCGTTCTCCCCTTCAAATTGCCTAGTTTTTTGTGGCTGATCCATCATCTTTGTTACTGTACATCATTCCGGTTATCTTTCACTGTTGATTGCCGGCCGGGGAAGTCGCTGCCTCTTTGCTTGCTTATCCGGGATTCTCCAACCGGGCCTTGACCTCCTGCCCGTTGGTACGGTACCCAATTGCTTTGCTCTTCTTTTTCCTTTTTATTCGAGATGGGCAATTCCCAGACGAAGGAAAGCAGACCGTCTCTTACTGCGCCAGGGCGCAGAAGCCATCATCATGGCCCATATGGCGACCGCCACCACGCTGACGGTTCTCGATCAATTCGAGGCAGCGGACCCGATCTATCCATCCTCGGTATCAACACACATTCAGAGCGAGACGTGGCGTCGCTTGAGCATCGGCGAGAAACTAGACAGGAAAGGGAAGCTCGCCGTCTTGAGAAGGAACGGGCGGCCCGCCTCAAAGAACGAGAGCGTAGTATGAAAGAAGAAAATGTTGATGGCGGTTACCTGGTAACGCAAGGTGTATACACCGGAACCGAAGATTTCAATAAGGCTGTGGTTCGCCAATTAATGGTAAGTCGACGTTAGTCTTTACTTGGCTGTATTATCGAACCTGACTTAAGCTTGCTTAGGTCGAACGACGACTTGCACCATTTTGGAGAGGTCTCAACGACTTCTCAGACTCATGGACAGAACATCAGCTGATGGCAGCAGCGCGAGGCCTGCCAATTCCCCCTCCGGATGAAATTCCTCCGGAGCTGGAATATAAGAATCCGCCTAAATCTGGAGAAGACGTCCGGGAGGCCTCGGATACACCCACGGCTCAACATTTGATGGTACCTATCACTTCCAGGTCTCAGTCGTACGGCTCGGATGCTTCTCAGTCTTCTACACCAGCCCATTCACTCCCCTCACCGACCTCTCCTATCGCTTCCGGCACTTCCAGCTCACCTATGTTTCGGACCCGTGCAAAGACATTGGCATCCCTCTCCACGTCTAAGCATGGCATTCAATCCGATACAATGACTCGAGAAATTCACCTTCCATATGATCCTTTTGTAAATGGACAGCCGATTGAGGCTTATCTATACAAAGCGGCTGCCGAATGTCCCATCTGCTTTCTGTATTACCCCCCCTATCTCAACCGGACGAGATGTTGCGACCAACCCATTTGTTCCGAGTGTTTCGTCCAGATCAAACGACCTGACCCCCACCCTCCAGAGCACGGGGAGACAGAACCAAATGCGCAGTCGGCGGCTGACGGTGAGCGCGTGGATAATGAGGACGGCCAATTAGTATCGGAACCAGCAGCGTGTCCGTTTTGCGTTCAGCCTGAATTTGGAGTCACTTATGCACCACCGCCATTCCGTCGAGGACTGGCTTACGCAAGCGACATGGGTTCCCGTCCGAATCTTACATCTCCGCTATCCTCCAGCTCATCGCTTTCTTCTAGCACTACCCCGGTGACGGGCCGTCGTCGCGCGACGTCATTATCTGCCAATGACCCGACTGTGGTCACAACCGATAGGGTTCGGCCAGATTGGGCACAGAAGCTAGCAAACGCCAGAGCACATGCCGCGCGACGATCCGCGGCAGCAACCGCTCTCCACACTGCCGCGTATCTCATGCACAACAATGGTTCTGGCACCGACTCGAGGAATTTTGGCCTTGGGAGAAGGAGTGTTATGCGACGGAACGGGGGACCGGAGAGTCAGAACACTTCGCGAACCGGCTCCCCTGCGCTGCAGGCCCTTGCATTCTTGACAGACCGTCGTGCGGCAGGCCAAGAAAACGATCCCGCAGAAGAGGCTTCAAATAGCCTGGCACCACCACGCAGCAGGTCAAGGAGAAACCGTATTGATGATCTTGAGGAAATGATGATGATGGAAGCCATTCGGCTAAGTTTAGCCAGTGAAGAGGAGCGGCGCAAAAAGGAGGAGAAGGAAGCGAAGAAGGAAGCAAAGCGAAGAGAGAAAGAAGCCAAGAAGGCGGAGAAGGTTGCGCGCAAGTCAGGTCCGTCCAATGACAATGCCAGTAATTCCGGCCTAGATGTGGTTGGCGATTCCAGCCTAGGCAGAGTCATCAGCAGCTCTTCCTCGGTTACCGGTGAAGAGCCTCCCTCTACCAGCAAGGGCAAGGAGGTAGATCGTGCGCCACCTCTTGGTCAAACTGCGGTTATTCCCACCGAGGTTGTCTCTAGCCCCGAAAGCGTACAGTATTCGCCAGCTGCTATCACAACGCCGACTGACCATGCTCTCCACTTGCCAACCTCGTTGCACTCGCGACCGTCACATTTACGCCATGTCTCTAGCGCGTCTTCGTCGTTTTCATCTCTGGTCGAATCGATGAATGAGGGCCATACTGGACTTCACACATCTGCTGATGGTGCGAGCTCCTCCACCGAGCCCTTATTTAACTTCCGCAGTCTGGCCGCTGTGATTGGAGACGAAGACAAAGGCGACGAAGGAACGGAACACGTGGAAGACACAACACCAAAACCTGATGCATCGAGCGCAGCATCAACTTCCCATTCTGCTACCGCCCATGATGAAATGGTGAAATTTGAAAAAGTGTTAACCGAGCCGACGCCTGCTTCCTTGGAGGTGCCTAAGAACGAAGAGTTAACCCCGAAGGAGATGGATTCTCGCTCGGCTGAGATGACATCCGCTATAAGAGATGCAGAGACTGCCTCTTAGATTTCAATATGTCACGGGATGATGCATTTTCGTCTGTTCGACCGGGCTGCCTTGCGATGTTGCTCCAACCTACGTCCACTTTTGCGGAGGGATAATTTACCACATGTCACTCGCGCGAAGTTGGGGGGAGGGTTTAGGGAGGGAGAGAGAAATGACAGTGATACAATTCTTTATGCTTCTGTCGTTGCTACACTTGACGAAGTCCTGTCTCTCAAGTATGTGCATTGATGGACTGGATCCTTTATAGCTGGCCTGCGTTTCTTTTGTCTCTATATACATACCATTGCATAGATTCAACACCTGTCTTCAATCTTGGTTCCTTTGTCTATTACTCTCTCAAATGGCAACACTCAGTGCCCCTGCCAACACCTTACGGATGTTTGCTTGGGCTTTACTGAAGAAAAGGATGGCGCGAAATAGAAAACGTGGGCACCTGAGCCAAAATCGAGGACGCACATAATACATGTTTGGATTAATCAAGCTCGCTTGAATTGAATACATGCAAAATCCATGACTGGTGGCCCTGGCAAATGGGGTTTAAAGGTCGAAGTGGAGCAAATCCTTTAATAGTCTCGAGACCTTGGAGTTGTTTCAGCCCATACGATAGAGGCTCCACCGGAGAATTATTTAGTGCGTTGTGTGCCAGTTCTGTCATTCGTTACCTTCAAAGGATCAAGAGACAGTAAGTATTTGGATGACTGACAGGAATACAGTAAGGAAGGTAAGTAGGTAGGTACATACGTGCTGGTAGTCAGGACTGGACCTCGTACTACCTTAGTTCTTACTGTGCTGTAGATATCAGGTTATAATATAATGAAGGACATTCCCACGTGTTCTGATTGGGCATCCTGACTCGTGTCGGGGAATTTGTTGAGCAGGTAGTACTATGTAGGTAAGATTACGTCCACTCCGCTAAACTTACATAGTACCGAGTAACTACGATTGTTTTACTATGTACATTACAGTATGGAGTATGCTCACAGTTATTAATATCTAGCTAATATACAGGTTACGTTGTAAGGTACTTGGTACTACAAAAACCAGAACAATCAAGTCTGCTCCGTCCTACAAAGAACAAAATGATAGTCATACAGTATCTACCGTGTCAGCCCTGTACAGTACAGTACATATCTGATGAGGTGGTTTATTAGGACTCAAGATAGCAGAACAGACAGGTCTCGCGCAAGTCTCGTTCTGCGCCAGACCAGGGTCCATCAAGGATTCCTCGTCTTGCGCTCTGATTCGTCCTACTCAAGTAGTAGTGCCATCAGTTCCGGGCACGGATCTTACACACAGCAGTAGATAGGTACATTGTACGGAGTACATGGGTGAGTATTCTCAGGCTTCTTCCCCAGTACTCACTCATTGTCTGGGTGGACAGGGGTGGCTATCACTGATCGACACTGCAATTTTATCAACTGTCAGACCCTCAACTGAGGTTGTTTATCACTTCCGATCCCACTACCCACTTCCCACTTCCCACTTCCTCGCTTCCACCCGAGAAGTGATTCGATAAGACCGGGCAGAGGGCGCGGAAATTCCTATCAATGGCTGGAATGACCCAAAGGGGTCGAAATGACGCTATCATCCACTAGTCCTTGCGACGGACTGACGCGATCGATAGCTTACAAGAGAGGCTGCTATTCGCTCTCCTTTTCTCGTCTTTTCTGGTTCGTTATGATCGAACATCGAACATGCTTCAAGGTTCAGTCCTGTGCTGTCTGTCTGTGTCTGTGTTGTACCTTGGGTAGCTGGGCAGTCTCTTCCGAGTATCCGCCAGTCAATCTCGAGTCTGCCTTGGATCTTGAATTTTAATTGTAGCAGGCCGGCCATCTGCCTGTTGCCCTTTGTCCTCCCTGCTTGATTTCTGTCTGCGCTGCGCAGCCTGTCAGGACTCAGTGGATCCGTGGTTCAGCTCTGGTGTTTTTTTTTTTTTTTCCTTTGTTCCTTTCCCTGTTACGAACTTACTTACCCTTCCGAACTTGCGCGTTCCTGGCTTGAAACCCGGATTCAATCCACTTTTTTATGGTCTCCATCACATTGGTCAATCGCTGAAGAAACAGCCCAGGCAGGAATTGAACCAACTGAGAGATAAAACCCTAACCATTCAGTAGTCTGTTCGAGATGTGATGAAATCATCTTAATGTCTTGTCCTGTCCCCTAAAGATCTGCTCCCCCTCCTTCTGTTCCTTCCACCCTCTCTCTCTCTCTCTTTTTTTTCTGGTACTCGTTTAATTCCCCGATTCCTCTTTCTTGACAAACACCAAAGTCATACATCCTTATATTCCTACACTTATAGAACCATATATCTTGGATTGTCCAGAGATCCCCTTCCTTTGGTCCTGGTCCAACCCACAACACATCCGGTCTGTTCTTGTTATTGTCCTTGATCAAGTTACCGCAGGGACAGTACCGGACAGCAACATTCGAACCGAGGCAAAATGGCGATTCTAGACAAAGAAAATCGGTCCCGCGGCCTGCGAGTGCCTTCCTTTGCCAAAAAAGGCTTCAAGCAAAAATCTTCTGAATCTCTGCCTTCGAAGGAATCCGCGCCCGTCCAGCAACCTTCCGCAGCTCCTGCTGTGACTCCCCCACGATCCGAATCCATTCCGGCACCTCCGCCGTTACGATCGCAAGAGCCTGACGAACTCCCTCCTCCTCCCACTGTACAACCCTCTGCTGGCCCAGGGTCTTTGACTGAGGGTCGCAGTCAGCGCCCGCCTTACAGCCCGCCGGATGGTCCTCTTCCTGAACCTCCGGTGTTTCGGGCTTACCGGCCGCCTATCCCGCCGCAACCCACCCCGCCGTCCAGCGAAGAAGACCTGGAACCGGAATCTAATCGCCCCAGTGCGGTAGATTCAGTGGATCATTTCATTCCTGACCCCGAACTTGAATCCGAGGCGCCTGTCGATTCTTTCTCCAGTGAAGATGATAGGGGCCCGTGGACACCTCCCGACTACGAGCCGGTGGCTGCGCCTTTGAATAAACTACATTACGCTTGCTACCAGGACCACCGGTCAATGCCTCCAGCTAACAATGCCTGGTATGCGCTGCCCTGCATGACGTGCCAGAAGTTTGATCACGAAGTGCGACACCGGTGTGTTTTCTGCTGTCTGCGCATATGCGGAGGATGCTATCAGGCATTGCAGAATTGCCCTAACCGCTCGTTGGCGCAATTGATGAGGTCCCTTCCTTCTTCTCAATGATGATTCCGAATGACGTCCGTAATACTGCTCTTGTCACTGTATACGTCAGGTAAGAGTACAGTCGAACCAAAAGGTCGTTTCTTGCTTCTCTCGAATATTCTTTCCCTACTTTATATACCTAGATTTTTTCTCATTCTCTTTTCATTTATACAACCGCATGAAATAAGATTCCCCTCGAGTTGCTACTATGTGTTGCGTGTGGTTTGGACGAATGCAGCTCTAATGATGGCGATTAGGGCTTTTTTCCGGGTTCCTCGTTTGTTGACTTTTGCATTGGACATGACGGCCCAATTTGAAATCGGCGGGTGCAGCCCCAAGATATAATTAAAATGCTTATCTATCAAGTACAAGACTGGCAAATGGTAGATTTTTTATTACGTATAGCACATTCATGCGGCATCAATCGTGATCCTCTTCTGTCACCCCCGGGCATCCTTCCATCTCAGCATTCTCGTATCGATACTTACACCAGAAACAGTAGTGATATCGATCACGTAGATACCGTACTAGTTGGGACAGCTGTTCGCTCGGGTCTAGCGCATTAAACTCATCTAGCTCGGGATCATCTTCTTCAAGTTCTTGCTCGAGAACCATTGATGGCTCCCGTTGCCCCCCGATAGCTTCCTCGTCATCTCGATCCAGTGTCGGATCGTTGTGTCCTGGTAAGCGGGGGTGGGGAAAGAATCCAGAAGAGAGTGATGTTTGAAGCATATGACGCATCTGAAGATTGCGTTCTTTCTCCTCGCGTTCACGGACTAGCCCACGATAGAGGATGTTAATTTGAGAAGTCGGCTTGACCTTCTGCGGCTTGCTTGTTGCAGGTCCGCCGGCCGTGTCATCCTGGGGGGAACCTTCCCTTTCCCCATCAGTCTTTGGTGTTTTGGAAAACTCTCCTTTCGCTGCGCTGGAGGGTGGTTCTTCACCCGTCTCAGCCTCGGCATCCAAGCGCTCAGCAACCTTCTGCGCAGCATGCACCTGCGCCTCCGCTCGGCGCATCTCCCGCTCAAGCCGGACCCGATCGCGATAATCGCCCTCATCCTCTTTCACTTTCTTGGCAACATGCTCGGCTTCCTCGAGGAACTTGCGCTTCCGCTCGCTGTCCAGCCCAATTCCACCCTTATCTTCTTTGATCACCAGATTGAGAGGCTCGGATCGGAGTCGGGCATCGGGTTCATCCAGCCTCGTTCCCTGAGATGATTCGGGCTTTCCTAGGGCCTGTCCAGGTTTGAAGCCCAATTTGGCCATCATCTGAAAGCCCTTGTTGGAAGGGTTCAGCGCACTGGTAGCAAGGGCGACATCGCGACGTGCTGCTTCGTCCGCAGCGCGTTCCGCTTTTGAAGGGACTCTGGCACGTGCTTCAGCCTGGTTCAAGAACGGCTAGTTAGCGTTTTGGTCTGGATGAATTTTCAAGTCTAACCTGATACTCACTTCTCGTTGTTGTCGGCGTTTTCTTTGAGTAAAGGTTTCCTTCTGCTGTGGTTCCTCAATTACCATGGACATGTAATCATCTCCCTCCTCGTCTGCCTCAGGCATAGCGCGTGCCGGGGGAGGGAAGTGGGGTTCTCGGCCAGAGAGTAACAGGGACGACAGGGAAGATCGGGAACCAGAAGTAGGCGCCGTAGAAGCAGACGACGTTCAATCCAAAATTGCACCTCACTTGACTAGAGAAACGCTAGCCACGTCAGACGGAGTAACAAGCTCAAGCAGGGAAGATCGACTGCGGGGAAGAGTTGAGCTGATGCGGAGATGCGGATTTTCCCTCTCTCCGGCTTAGGTGGCTTCCTTAGTTATGCCTGCTCTAGCTGATCCACCAGTTGGCTCACACCTCACCCGTCCCATCCATCCATTGACATCAGTCACAACTTACGGCTCGGGGTGTACTGTACCTAGTACATACACTCCCACTACACTTGAACCTAGCTCAGCTGTCGAGACCGCCCCTCTTTGTTGGCACTCTTCAATTAGTCCTCCGAGATCCGGAACATATCGTTTCCTGCGTCAATCACTGCCGAAAAACCTGGGATGACGGCTCACATCCATCATGTGATGATGCAAGGAGAGCCCTTCCTGGATAGGAGGGCGGATCCAGCGCATTCCTCGAAGCATGCCTTCAGAGGTCTCGACTCTGGTTGATATGTCATTAAAAAGGGATGCTCTGCTCGCACAGCATGGAAGCACAGCGTAAACACACCTCGGTTCTGCAGCAAGCCATTCGCAGCTGTTGCTTGA